TATATATATATATATATATATATATATATATATATATATATATATATATATATATATATATATTTGACGATATATATATATATATATATATATATCCTGCCGCCCTCCTCCGCTGCCAGTGCCAACAAAGTAATGGCCACACAAGTGGCCAATCGAAATTGCCCTCGTGCATGGCCATTTGTTTAGATCTGTGCTACCCTTGAAATGGCCGTTTGCATGTCAAACGAGGTCTGCCACATGCCGGGGTGTTCTCTCACGTACCAGCCCCACACTGCCAATGAAATGGCCGCATGCACAGCCCATTTCTTTTTGGCCACCCCTGGGCCATTAGCAGCTCACCGTTGCTATTGAAATGGCAGTACACGTGGCCGTTTTTCTTTGGCCATGAAAACGACGATTGGAGGGCCAGTGAACAGTCCTGCATTGTTTGCAAGGGTGGCGAGCCATGCGCCAAATGCCGTGTCGGTCGTGGATTTCCACAGCCCCATTGACATCTCTGACAGGCAGCCAATATTTAACAGCTCTGACACCAATCTTGAACCGTCAACATGCTTGATCCCACCAACGGCCCAGACAGAGGATTTGTTGCATTAGCACTTTGTACAGTTGTGGAAATCTGCAAGTTCTTTGTATAGGGCTGTGGTTCCCAGACATGACAAGAGGAAGGGGCGCCTACAAGCTGCTTCTACCAGACCTGCCATAGTCTTTTGACTGGACGTCCACCTACCGCCTTCACCTGAATAGAACGCCTGGTCATTATAGGTGCATTTGGTGCAACTTTGAGTCTAGATAGAGCGATGATGACCGGGCATTCTCTTCGGTTGAAGACGGTAGTACGTCAATGGGCAGCCATTTTCCAAAGGTACACATGACCACCGCCCTTTATACGGCCCCATATTGCAGACGCTGTGGGAGGCAAATGCAGATACGATAGAAGGGGGAAAAGGAGGATAATGGTACTAGCACCCATCCCTTGTCCTTGGCTATAACATAGTCCAAAAAGTGGAGGCCAAAGCAACACCACAAAGAGCAGATTTTTCGTTTTTTTCCTTTGGCATTCTCTGGTCACTCACCTTCTTTCCAAACTTGGCAGCTTCTCTCGCACAGGCTAGTCCACCACAACCACCCCCAATAACAACCAGGTCATACTGGAAGCCATGACGTTCCTCCGGAAGTTGGGTATCCCTCACTGCGGGCCTCCAAATCCTTGACCCTGCAATTCAATGATATAACGTCATACTGGAAGCCATAACGTTCCTCCGGAAGTTCGGTTCACGACCACGTGACTTTTTTTGTGCAATGCTAAGCTTTTGTTCTCGAAGGTCACGTGGTCGTGGACCACTCCCTCTGTCCTGGGTGGGAAGAAATCCACGACCACGTGAACTTTTGGACACATTGTGAACCTTCCATTCGGAAAGGCCACGTGGTCGTGGACCGAATTCTCTCTCTCTCTCTCTCTCTCTCTCTCTCTCTCTCTCTCTCTCTCTCTCTCTCTCTCTCTCTCTCTCTCTCTCTCTCT